TGGCTGGGCCATTTAAGAACAGTCACGGAGTTGTTGTGAAGCCACTCCTTCGTTATTTTAGCTGTGTGCTTAGGGTCATTGTCTTGTTTGAAGGTGAACCTTCGGCCCAGTCTGAGGTCCTGAGCCCTCTGGAGAAGGTTTTCGTCCAGGATATCCCTGTACTTGGCCGCATTCATCCTTCCCTCGATTGCAACCAGTCGTCCTGTCCCTGCAGCTGAAAAACACCCCCATAGCATGATGCTGCCACCACCATGCTTCACTGTTGGGACTGTATTGGACAGGTGATGAGCAGTGCCTGGTTTTCTCCACACATACCGCTTAGAATTAAGGCCAAAAAGTTCTATCTTGGTCTCATCAGACCAGAGAATCTTATTTCTCACCATCTTGGAGTCCTTCAGGTGTTTTTTAGCAAACTCCATGCAGGCTTTCATGTGTCTTGCACTGAGGAGAGGCTTCCGTCGGGGCACTCTGCCCTAAAGCCCCGACTGGTGGAGGGCTGCAGTGATGGTTGACTTTTTACAACTTTCTCCCATCTCCCGACTGCATCTCTGGAGCTCAGCCACAGTCATCTTTGGGTTCTTCTGTACCTCTCTCACCAAGGCTCTTCTCCCCTGATAGCTCAGTTTGGCCGGACGGCCAGCTCTAGGAAGGGTTGTGGTCGTCCCAAACGTCTTCCATTTAAGGATTATGGAGGCCACTGTGCTCTTAGGAACCTTAAGTGCAGCAGAAATTTTTTTGTAACCTTTGCCAGATCTGTGCCTTGCCACAATTCTGTCTGTGAGCTCTTCAGGCAGTTCCTTTGACTTCATGATTCTCATTTGCTCTGACATGCACTGTGAGCTGTAGGGTCTTAGACAGGTGTGTGGCTTTCCTAATCACGTCCAATCAGTATAATCAAACACCGCTGGACTCAAATGAAGGTGTAGAACCATCTCAGGGATGATCAGAAGAAATGGACAGCACCTAAGTTAAATATATGAGTGTCACAGCGAAGGGTCTGAATACTTATGACCATGTGATATTTCAGTTTTTCTTTTTTAATAAATCTGCAAAAATGTCAAAAATTCTGTGTTTTTCTGTCAATATGGGGTGCTGTGTGTACATTAATGAGGAAAAAAATGAACTTAAATGATTTTAGCATATGGCTGCAATATAACAAAGAGTGAAAAATTTAAGGGGGTCTGAATACTTTCCGTACCCACTGTATATGAATACCAACTGCATCTCTGCAAATCATGCTATGACATCTGTCTAGTGTATTCAATAACACTGCTACAGTGTGTATGTGACCAGCAGAGAGAAAGAGCTCAGGGCCTTGCACAATGGTAAGGACATTACTGACAAAACACAACGCAGATGTTCACGAAGTCTAAGATTTCTCTCCCTTCCTCCACCTCCTCCAATTTCCATCCATTTATCTGTCCATTCTCTCACCCTGGCTGCTCTTGTTAATAATGTATTAACAGGTGTAACTTCAGAGTTGCATCAAAATGACAGCAACCTGAAAATGCACCTGCATAACATGAAATAAATTTAAGCTAAATTATGCTAGAAAATCTTAGAAGCTGCCATGTTTTATTACAATCCACATTGCAAACTAACGTCAAACTAAACAATATACCCTCTAATTGTAGTGTTATTAGACAAGACAAAGGCTTAAACCATTAACTTTGCTGGCCCTAATTTAAATACTTAAAGCATTTGTAAGGGAATAATTAAATTCAATTTTATTTGTATAGCACCAAAGAAGTGTTTCTGAGATGTTACAACTGTCACTATGTTACATGTGGAACAGTGTAGTAAGTAATCCACTGGGCACATGTGATTCTAGCATCTACTTGTATGTCCCCACCTATCCCGCTGCCAGTCTCCAAGACAGGACTAGCACATAAAAAGACAGACCAAATACATTAATAAACTAATTTTAATTTAAAGCTCAGGGGGATATGATAATAAGCATCTATTTAAATATTTCATTTTAAGGTCAACTGCAGTCCTCCACAGCACTTCATTTAGATCTGTATTCTGCTTGTGATCTCCTCACCATGGTTTCCTTCTTTCTCCTCTTCCCTCCTTGTCATTCCTTCTGTGGTGTCCCCCAGGTGAGAAGTCATTACGCTGCTCTCAACTGTGATTTTTCATCACTTTTTAAAATAGAACCTCTAAAAACCACAGTCTCACTGGAAGCCTGCAGCACTCCTTACTGTACCATCGCTGACACATGCTCATCTCTGACCCCCTCTATCACACACACACACACACACACACATACACGCATGCATGTGTTTTCCCAACACTCGGGGGCAGAGGTGGGCAGTTGAGGGGGATGAAAGAGTGAGATGGATTGTGCAGAGATGTAACTGTAATTGGGTGATGTGGTTGTGTGTTTGAGGCAGAAAAAGAAAAGCAGTACCCGTGTGCATGGTGTTTGCTTTACAGTGTGTATATGAACATGCACATTTGTTGATATTCAGGAAACATATCAATGTGGCCTCACACTCCAATTTCCTAGTTAAGTACAAAGATACAATCAATTGATGCAAGTAAGGATGAGAAAGGAAGATGCAATAAATGAAACATTAACGTTCCCTTATATGCTGTGGTCTGTCCTCCTGCCATA